CATTATACGCCCCACTAACTAACTAGTGTATCGAAGAGGTGCTCGATCGGTGTAACCTCGTCGTGCTACCGACCGACTCGGCGATGATCTCGTCCACTATGTTCATTATATTCGAATGCGTGCCCACTGTATTTGCGTGCCTCAATTCATTCCCGCTATCTACCTCCTGCTGTGTATGCCGGCGTGCGTGTTCAGGGTACTGTATGGGGAAGTAGGTAGGTAGATCATTTCTCAGGCCGTTAGTGGTGTTCCTGACCATCGTTTCGCGTGTGGGAAAGCTCGAGCGACTGGGGTGTCCGGGGCGAGGCTCGCAATGCAGGCTGACGACTTCGCCGTCGTCGTTGAAGTTGATTATTAAGGGTTCGCACCACCCAATCTGCGGAAGAAAAAAAACGGGATTGGGAATGGAATGGAATGGATTAGGTTTAGTTATTGTGAACAAACTCATTCTACCTCCTCGTTGGGGTTCTGCGTCGTTGAAGTGGTGTATCAACGGGCTACACCACCCTATATGCGGAGTTAAATTGAATTGGGATTGAATTGAAATGGAACGGATCAGATTAGGTGCCGTTGATCAACCCAATTCTACCTCTTTTTGTTGGGAGAAATACCAATGGTCCCCACCGCTCTATCTGGAAAAGAACAAATTTCAGATTGGATTTAAGAGAGTTATCGGATAAAAATATCGGATAAAAACCTAAATCTCCCTCATAATCGAAGAGTAGTATCAATGGTTTGCAAACCCTATGTTTGTATTGGGAATAGACATCGGGTAGATCGACTATCCATCGAGATGGTTCAGATCGCCACGATTAGTTCTTGCAAGAGACGTACACTATAGAATAGAAGTGAACGCGAGAAACGTGGCCTATTACCTCCTGTAGCAACAACACTACTAATGAGTGCGATGGCTTAAATACATATGCATATACATACATACATACATACATACACACACACACATATATATATATATATATATATGTATATGTAATATGTAATACATATATACATATATCACACATATATACATATATACATATATCACACATATATACATACATACATACATACATATATACATCCATACATACATACATACATATATATATATATATATATATATATATATATATAACATGATCTTCTGCAACATGAGTAGCTCGCTCCTGAATACCAAAACAAATATGTATAGAGGTGCGTGTGCACTCGTGGCATGCGTTGTTCACCCGCAATACGGCAGTCGCAGTCGTCAGCATACTCATACCTGCACACACACATTACCTACTACCTTAAACACTCCCCTATACACACTACCATTACTCTCGACATACCTCCATATTTAGCACCTGCTCCGTCGAGTACTCCATCAAATACATGACAATAGCTCTGATGGTGTTACCGTGTGAGCTGACGATCACGTTCCGACCGCTCATCACCACTGGTAGTATGCTCTGCTGTAGATAGGGGATGGTCCGTTGGGCGGTAGTCTTAAGGGATTCGCCTCCGGGAGGACAGCCTGAGTAGCTCCGCCTCCATTTTTGGACCTGGCAGGGTTTTTATTTATTTATTACAGTTATAGAGAGTTTTTATCATTATAGTTATAGGGCATAGCCTTTTGAATTATACGATTTAGAAGGCTATGTATAGGGGTTTAGGGTTTTAGCATGACCCTCGTGAGACAGGAATTATGATAATACGAGAAC